AATACTAATCTTCCACCCGGGACTAAATATATCGCTGAAAAATCCAGCAAGTCGAGTAGCACGTTATGCATTTCATACGGAACTGTTTGTGGATACCTCGGATCTCCATTACTACATAAGAGGATAAGAAAAAAAACACACAAGGTGTGGAACAAAATCAATGTATGCCTTTTGAATGGTCCATCGGTTGGTCTAACTTTAACATTTGTTCCAATTTTCTTGGCCCCTGCCCTGACTCCATATGGTGGATCACAGACTATAGCGTCGAATAATTCCGTCTCTCGCCATGGATGATGTGCTTTGAAACGAAAGGAGATTAAACACGGAAATGAATTGCAAAGTAACTAGAAGTACCGAGATCAGTTACAATTGTATCGAGTATCCGTCCTTGCAATTGATACTGCGAAATATTACTACTCAAATTCTTACGCTCTTAAAATAAAAAATGTTAAAACAAGAATCCAAAAAAAAAAGCAGAGGTAGTTGGGTTACCAGTTCCACGAATCTGCCGACCATCAATATCAGCACCAAGACTATAAGCACCAAAATGCGAACATGTAAACAAAAAACTTCCGGTCCCCACAAACGGATCCAACACCAACGCACCAGGTCTCGCCAACGCCTGATTCGCCATAACCAACGATAACTCTGGGTCCATTGTTGTAGTTCCAATATAATTCCGCTTTTTTAGATCGAATTGGCTTACGATTGTTCGGTTTCCTGATGCGACTTGGATGCCGAACCAACAGTGTTTTGGGGAGGTGCGGAATTGGCCGGTTGATTCGAGGGATTTTTCGGGACGGCCCCAGTCTTCGTAGTAGCAGAATGTTACTTCGGGGTTGTTGAGGTCTGTGGAGCCGAGGAGCGGCATTGATGGTTGGAATTGGTTAATTCTGGCGATTTGGTCGGATACTGAAATACTGGTTCCAAAACAATCGACGATGAATTTAAATTTTGAGTGCAGGTATGGTTTCTGAAAAAATTGAGTTGGAAATTTACATACATCAAGTGAAATGGAGATTAAATTACATGTAATTCTGGTTGAAGTCTTATTGATTCTAATAATTCGGGAAGTGAATTCGCGTCAGTCCAGAGTTCGCAAATGTCTCTGAAAGATAAATACTGAATCAATTATTTTATGAAAGGGTAGCGAAGGAGAAATACTTTATCAGAATCGAGCGGCGAATTAATTTCACGGCATCTTCTTTTGTCGGCAGTTCTATCAGCAAAAAAGGAGACTTTTTGACAGTGTGAAGATGAGTAAAGTAGAGTTTGGGTAATAATGAAAACCTCGTTTGAATAATTAGAGTCGTCGCAAATCAAGTTTACATTTTCCAGCACAGCGAGTGATTTTAATTCTAAATCAAGAGAAAATTAATAATAAAATACCAACGTGATAAACAATAAATAGTAATAACGAATTTACCGGGCAGACGGAAGTGGACGTGGACATGCGCAAAGCGAACAACAAACTTCATTTCAGAAAACCGCCTTATTCCCAACTGACCTGAAATAATTGAGGCACCAAAATAAAAAACAAACTGGTGAAAATTCGAATTGGAAAAAGAAGATACATAAATATGGTACATTAAAACAACGGAAAATGGAGATGAAGGGCATCGATCCCTTGACCTTCTGCATGCAAAGCAGACGCGCTACCATCTGCGCTACATCCCCATATGCCAACGGGATGTAGTTAATTAAATAGATAAACAATGATTTAATAGTTCATGTTACCTTCAATTTCTCGTGCAAAGGGTGGATGTTCGGTTGATACGACATGAATTGAATAAACGAAAATATATCATATTCTATCAGCTCGAGGTTGACCTTATCAATATCGTTTATGCGAATTGAGATGCGAGTAGTTGATTTTTGCTGGAACATTTGGAATGTATCAAAGTGAAGCCATTTCATGGAAGTTGGGATATTTATTTCTCTTCCCGGGCCGCTCTACAAAATAACATGATCCACAAAAAACCAGTATTGGTTGATAGCGGTCGACGGGGAGGAAGCTTGCACGAAACCCCTTCTCTGGAAAGGTGCGTCGATTTTCTGGGATTCAAGATTCACGTCCGAAATGCGCTAAACTCCTTCTCCATCCAAGATCACGGAAAAAAGTACTACAGATTTAGATGCACAAGTTAAACAGATTGAGAAATTCATAACTTGCAATTGATGAATGATAAATTTCTTATTAAAGTATTACATCATAGTTTCCAAATTTATTCGATCACTAAAAATAAACAAAGAGGATACTGAAAAACATGAGGAATTACAGAGCTTTGCAAAAAGTAAACAAAGCTTGCAAAAAAAATTATTTTTTTTTTGCAGAATTTAAGCAACGGTCTTCTCCTTTCCGGACATCAAGTCATCGAAGGTCTTGGTTGGAGCTTCGAGAGATTTCTTGACTGGGTTTGGAGCCTGGAAGATTTCGTCCAATTCTTCAAGAGTACGTCCCTTGGTTTCTGGGAAGTAGAAGTAGATCATGACCAAAGCGAAAGCGTTGAACAAGACGTAGAAGGAGAAGAATTTCCATTTGTAGGCGTTCAAACCGTAGGAAAGGACCCAGGATTGGATGATGTTGGCAATGTTGACGAAAGCTTGACACATGGCCATACCTTTGGCACGGGTGGAGTAAGAAAGAACTTCGACTGGGTACAAGGCGTTGATCGAGGTCCAGCAGAAAGCGTAAGCGATACCGAAGAGTTGAAGAACAACGAAGGCAGTGATTCCGACTTCCTTTGGTCCCTTGGGGTTTTCTGTGACTTCGTTTTCGTTGTAGATGGCCAAAAGAATGGTGAGAGCCAAGAAGAAGAAGGTGTACAGGAAGGTTCCGATGAGCAAGTATGGACGACGACCGATCTTGTCGACGAAGGATGATCCGACCAATGCAGCAACAAGAGAGATGGCGGAGGTGATGATGTTCAACAACAATTTGTCTTCAGTGGAGGTAATACCGAAGTATGGGAGAATCTGAGATTGGAAGTATCCGGCGATCCAGTTACCAGCGGCTTGGGAGAAGAATCCAACACCAATAACGACGAACGATCGGAGTCTGTTTGGTCTATTGTTGAACAAAGCGGCGTAGGTTCCTTGGTTTTGGGAGGCTTCGGTTTCAATAGCCAACTCAATTTCCTTCAATTGTTCAGTCACAATAGGGTGGTCAGCATCACCAGAGGCATGGTATTTAACCAAGAAGGCACGGGCTTGATCAGTTTTTCCAGCGGCAACCAACCAACGTGGAGATTCTGGAACGAAGAAACATCCGATGAAGACAACACCAGACCAGGCAGCTTGGAGACCACATGGAATTTGCCATGAAGCAGAGTCTTTAGCACCGGCCTTTTGGAGAGCGTACAA